TTTGCACTGATTGGCTAGTCGCATTTTCTCAAATCACTCAGATCCCTTGTTTGATGATTTGTGTCTTAAAAACTCAATGAAATCAAGCAATTTTACAACTTAAGTTGAAATTCAATATCTTTTACAGATTCTTAATGAWATGTATAGTTTACAACATGACCGGCTGTGTTGTATCGGAATTAYAATCTTGAGCCGTAGGCAAGTTCTGTTATCTGTCTTCTACTGCTTCAAAMCCTAGTGAAGGTCTATGATGCGATACTAAAACTGAGACCTTTCGCTAGTGTTGGGTTGTCTCAAGGTGACGACCGTGTTGTAAATCTGATACAGTACAACACTATTGTTGTATCAGATTTACAAGGTCGATCGTGAACCTTATTAATGGACAGTCCTTATTGGAGTAATAGCTCATGCATTATTAATAAGTTTTATAAATAGTGATTAAAGCGTTCCCTAAATCTTACATTTGTAACTTCAGTCAATTTTAGTATACACTTGAGTTATGTGCAATTTATCAGCATCTTTCGATCCAGTGGTTTGTGTCTTCAAAATCCAGTGAAATTGGGYAATTTAAATTACTAAACAAAACACCGTTCCGAAAATTACTGCATTTATTGCATCTGCTAGAGCGCAGTAATAGCRTTCTGTCCCATTCAATTTTGTCTAGGATTGTAGCTCAAACTTATATATGGATTGGACATTAAATTTGGTAGACATGGTTTTGATATCCCAACATCCATTAGCATGCCTCAACGGGCAAAATCACGATTTTTTCTGCCCTAGCGTTTACCAGATCTCTCTCTCCCTTATATGTCCGGGTAATCCTGGAATGCCTCCTCGGGTTTTGGCAGRGGCAATTAATGAATGCCCTCTTTTCATCTAACACAAAATTGATAATCTAAAATCTAATGCAGCTTAGATAATTTATCCTCCATTATGTACAACCATGCCCTGATTATATATTATAAGCTTAACACTTATAAGTTAACTTATTTTTTTCTTTATATTTGATTACTAGATAAGGAGGAATCATCCAGTTCTCAGGTATAAGTCAAGATCATTCCTATTTTTTATCACAATGGCTTAATACATCATCTTTGCTTGGACTTAATCTGGTGCCCAGAGCTTTTACTTTACTGCCTAGCAGAAGGCAACTGAGAGACTCTTACAGGTCACCCTATCCCACACCTAAAATATCGATTTTTCATACCCAAACACAGACTTTGAATTTTACAACCCATTTTGCTAACTTTTAATCAATATTTGAATTTGTTACTGTGACCAYGAAAAGCATTGCTTCTTCCAGACTTAAACTGATCAAAATCTACCCAGCTATTCAAGACTAAAATGACCAAATTGTAACTCTATCCCAGACAAAAGCCATACCATATTGCAAACAAATTTCCAAAAAAGACTACACTACCCCATACAATAGCAAATATAGGGGAATACCCCTAAGTGAGTAACTGAATACCTGTTTTCAAAATAGTCTAATTGTAAAGATCTTTCATTACATTGTGTTTGCATGCATTTTTTTCTTTGAAATAAGTATGAGTACATCTACTACCCTCTTACCTTGGTTTTCTTGTGTGTGTGTTTTTTTTAATCCTGCAAATAACTATTCTATCAGGGTCAGGTGGATTCACTAAGAAGAGAAAACGAGAGACTGAAAGAGGAGGCTGCAAAGCTGAAAAAAGAACTTGTTTATTGGGAAGTCAGAAATGGAGGTATGCAAACTTTTATGATACAAATCAAAATGACATAAAGCTGCTAATATCAATTATAGTATTCTTAACCACTTTATTATTCAAAGTTTGGCACTAACTGAAAACGTTATGCTTACACCAACATTTAAGGTCATTCTTGCATGTAATTGTGTTTCCTCGCAACTTCTTAATGTCAAAGTTTGTTCCCATTGGCATCCTTTCTATGTTTCCTTGAGGAACGTAATTATGATATAGCATGCACTCCAGCCACAAGTCAAAAGGAATAAAATTCAAATGAAATATTGATTTCTGCTGTTAATGAAACTGTTTTTTCCTTACGTTTGCTTATTTCCAGTAAAACAGGTGTCATTACCAAAAAGTATTGCATCGTCTGCGGCTGGTTCTACAGCAGCAGCAGCAGCAGCAGCAGCCCCTGTGTCTCTACAAGCTGCACAGACAGAAGCAAAACCAGAAGAAAAACCTAAACAACAAAAAAAGAAGGCAGAGAAAAAGCAAAAAACAGAAAGTGCTTCAAAGCAGCAAGGTATTTATGTTATAAGAACTGTGAAGTGCTTCTCTGTCAGATTATTGTCACCACCATTAAACTCTAATGTTGTTTAATTTGAATCTTTTTTTTTCTTGTTACCATGTAGCTAAAAAAGAAGAGGCAAAACTTGATGCTTCAAGGTTTAATTTTCTAGTTGGTAAAATCTTATCTGTCAAAAAGCACCCTGAAGCTGATTCTCTCTTTGTTGAAGAAAGTAAGTCCAAAAATATGGCTTAGCCAACAAGTCAAAAGCATGTATTTTTCTTCTTCTTTTGTTTAAATTTTAGTTTTCACTAGCCGGTGTATCCGTTCCCATCCCTCCCTCCCCTCCCCCCAACATCTCCATTAGTTAGCAGTCTCTGATATTTAATGAAATTCAGTTAGTAAAGTATATCTATAATATATTATGTATCCTTTGCTGAAAGAAGCCAGTTGTGACTCATCTGTTGTTATTTCATTATCACGTCTCATTGGCATAGATATTTCAAAAAAGGTTGTGAGAGGAGGAGTTATATTATATTATCAACCTATATCCAAAGCCATAGTTACCTATTTTAAAATATTTTAATGATATAAAGAACTTGTTGATAAAATATTTCCTTATTATTAAATTACAATTATATAATCACTTAGCAGGGTTGTGACAGGGATCAGTATTATCTTTGGGATAAGGAATCATAAGTACTGGGTTCGGCTTGTTTGAACACTAACTTAGAGTAGCTACCACTGAAAGCTTTATCATAATTATTTTGTCCTGTATAGTTGATGTTGGAGAGCAAAACCCAAGGACAATATGTAGTGGACTTGTGGGTCATATTCCAATGGAGAAGCTGCAAGTATGTTATGGACAACGTTTTCACACATAAATTCACTGCAATCTTACATTAGCACTGAGAAATTCTTGTTGACATGGACACCATGGAGCAAACCTCAGTCTCGGTGATATGGAACTTGTAATAGAATTCATTTAATTATTTTTTTATCATTTATTGCTCTTTTTAGGATGCAATGGTTGTTGTGATGGCAAATCTAAAGCCAGTGAAGTAAGGCAGGCAAATAGAAAATAGATTGGTCTAATGAATACTGAATGAAACGTCTATTAAAAAAAACAGAAATAAAGTCAGAGGGAACTAATCCCATCATTTTATAGCAAACATCTTTCTCCATAGACATTTATAGAAAAAGATTGAAATAATGATTGTATGAAACGTATCACCAAAGTTGCAGTTTACATTGCTCGATCAGTTTGTCACTAAAACTAACAACAGGCCAGTGAACTAAAAAATTGTAGACGTYRAGCAAAAAAGGAACTGACTTATGGAATCAGGCATGGTAAATTAGTTGATAAGTTTGCTTAAGCATGCAATTCTTTGTGTTCAACAGGATGCGTGGTATTTTCTCCCAGGGAATGGTGATGTGTGCTAAGTCAACAGAGCATTGGTCAGTGGTCATGCCACCAAATGGTGCTGTTCCTGGAGATAAGGTTGTGTTTGATGCTTATCCAGGAACACCTGATGAACAGTTAAATCCAAAGAAGAAGGYAAGTATTAGTAAACCTAATATCCCATTTAACTTCTGTTCTTCAACAACCTTTTACTTTTTTTTCATTTACATTCTTTTACTATTTTCTATTGTCTTCCCGCCTGATTTTTCCTAGACTGATTCCATAAGTCAGTCMCAGTTTGCTTTCTGTCAGAGGTTTTGTCGCTTACGGGTTTTGTGACAAACCGAAAAAAACAAGGAGCGAAAACTTCAACTTATGGAATCAGTCTACATGTTTCCATGTTTCCTGTGTGAATTTGCTTTAATTGTCCTATTTCCATTCATTCATTTGTACATTCATCAATTCTGTTGTCTAAAATGAGCACTACCAATTGTGCAATTACCCAATGTAACATTTTGGTCTTATCAACCCTCTATGTTCCTTAATGTATTTAAAACTCTACATTGACTGAGCAGTCACGTGCGTGGACGAATTTTCCAGACAATCTTCTGAAGTGTGTCCTAAAAGAAGRACTGGAACTCTTCATCTTTGTTTACATTTAACATTTGTTCAATGATTTACTCAGGTTTGGGAACAGTGCGCTCCTGATTTCACAACTAATGCAGAAGGTATACCAACCTTTAAAGGTGATCCATTCATGGTACCRGGCAAAGGAGTCTGCACAGCTGGTGGAATCGAAAATGGAGTTGTTCGATAATTCAAGGAATATTATCAATTAATATTGTCAAAATGTAAAAAACATAGACTGAGTTTTCTTAACTCATTAAATCTTTCACTGGTTAGTTTACATTTGTTCAGTCATTGTATTTCTGTTTGTTTATTTATTTGTTTTTGGCCATCGTTTTTGTACCCTGGTTCCAGGGGCTTGTCTTCTATTATTTTGCTTACTATGTTATCGCTTCGCGGCTCGATAACATAGTAAGCAAAATAATAGAAGACAAGCCTCTGGAACCAGGGTATCGTTTTTGGCACATTTTAGTCAATCACAAAGATTCAACACAAAATCACAATGCATCTTAGTACCATCATTACCACTACCCAGCAAATCATTATTGCAACATGTGCAGCTACGCCCTTTTGTACAGCAAAGCATGAAGGGAGTTGTAAGTTCTAGCTCTTTTAGTTTCTAGGGCTTATGAGGATTGCTTTAGCGGACATGAAAAGGCGTGAAGACTATAACTGTTATATTCTCGATTTGCAGCAGTTACAAGGGTCGCTCCAAGGTTTCCAAGGAACGAGTCCCATAACGGCTGCAAGAGAGACTAAAATGAAAATCGTAATTTGTTGTAAAAAATGGCATCTCTGCATATTCCCTAATAGGAAATTATTTTTTCTTTTACCAAAAAAATATTTCAAATACCCTTTAGTGTATCATTTCAGTCAAAASATACAGTCAACGGGAAAAGAAGACGGCGGTCGAAATCCCCCCACTCCTCCCTCCCTTTACTTTTCTAATGGTGGACGTTGTCAATTATTCAATTATTTTTGCTCGTCACAATGAATTATCCAATTAGAGTTCATTTTCGAGTAACGTTTTGTCTCGTCAAGATGTTGCTCCACGTACTGAAACGTTTGTTTCGCGAAATTTATAAAGAAAAATGTTTAGCTTATTAAATCTCATCACAGACGCTGCGTCGTTTATACACGACACAGCAAGGTACTTGTACCAGTCACAAGGTGAGTACAACAGCTTGTTTGTTGAGCGCGCGGACTGGGCATTGTTACTGTTAGTTGCACAAAAGCCCCTCGAAACTGCGCACTTTGTAAAATGCTAAAGAACGCGCYAAACTGCGGTTTCACGCCAAACGTGTCCTATTTGCCTGTGTGATAACGTTRTTAACCAGTAAGTTCAATTTGTATTGATGCAGTCAAAATTGAAWWTTTTTAAATTGACTCTAATTKAGCGCACAAGCGCAAACTCGCGTACAACGTCGATATGAGAAGCGCGCGCGTGTGTATCTGCAAGAAAAMTTATATTAGAGAAGCGCACATCAAACTTAGACCGATACTCAYGACAGTCACATTTTCTATRCCTATTCTTTTTGCGAAATTGATRGACATATTGACAAGAGCGATATAACTCAAATGGKTCTTAAAAATAGTCAATAACTTGTAAGCCCATAGGAGTATCATACTTAGGAGTATTGAAAAAAGTATGAAAAAGCGCCTCTCTGCTTGAAAAAAATCCATYCTAAACTAAGAAACTTCTCAATGGCCTGGGTCCAACATTGTTTGTAAGCTTGCTAAGAAACGAGTATCCCTTTGATTCTTTACTCATTATCATATAACTCAAGTGAAGTGAACTATCACGGCGTGGTCATTGCGATCTGACACGTTTTCACGTTGGAAAAGGTAAGAGATTCACTGCCCCTTCATGATAACTTTCGGCAGCTAAATCTTCTGGGACATCACTCTGAATGGACAAACGTAAATGATCTTCTTGAAAAATTACAAGGTTTTTATCGAGTTCCGAAGTCCGGATCGCGGCACTACTGCAACGGATACGCGCGTGTGGAGTTTTTCGCGTGTGTATTTTTGTATTGGATCCTAGATTGCATRCAACAATTCACTGAATGATATAACGTTGGGCAACCACTGTTGTATTTCAGCTATAATTTCATCCATTTTAAACTATAAAACTTACTCGACTTTTCTTGTCGGTTCTCTCGATTCAGTTGCATGGCAACCAATTTCAGATTGAGAGAATTTCTTGCTTTTCAGACTACTAGTTAGTATTGCTTTTTTATCAAAAATCACAACTGAGTTAAAAATCGTCCGAAGCCATTGAAATTATTCTCTTTTTTACTTGAAAATGATTTTTATAGCGTAAAAAAATTTGGAATTCTGGTGACACCATCACAYGAACTTCCGGTCACGATTTCATTTCCGGTGTAAGCCATTTCCGGTTTCTATTAAAAAAGTCAGCGGATTCAGTCAGGACAAGATGCGTCAAGTGACGTGGCAGCCGGACTCCGCACTAAAAAACGTGAAAAGTAAAATAAGAAATGCTTTGAATTGGACGTAAGTTTGTCGCTATTTTGACTTGATTTTTAAACAACTGTCGTGTTMTTGAAAGGCGTTTATTCCTTTGCCCTGTGGTGAAATTTCAAGCCGTTTCCTTGAGAGGAAAAGTGAATATTTCACCTATTTGGTCGAGGGAAATATGCCTTTTCGAAGCACCTGAAAGATAGATTTCTCACTCTGAATTTCTACGACTTGCTTGTTGAATTAGTGTCCAAAGGTGTCCATGTAGTCAGATCGGTGGCGTTTACCATGGCATACGATTCTCGAAACGCTGCCTCTGTCAGACATCCSGGTAAGTTGAATTAAAACAMGGCTTACGATACCGTAATTGTTGCTACAGAATTCTTTGTGATGGTGTATTGAAGTGATTGAAAAATTATTTTTGAAGTGTACTACAGCATGTACACGCTTTGAATATTCATGAAGGTTAAGGCAGCGTCAGCATAGCGTTCTGTTTTCTGAAGTTTATCCTTTAACTTCAAAACCTCAGCTGTTCTAGTTAGGTAGCATCATTTATTACGTATCTCGAACCTCGAACGTTTCCAGCTCAGGTCTGCTGAGTTCGATATAAGAAAGTAAAGTAAACGTCGTGTGATTGCATATACTTTCATGTTGATGCATTCATTGCATTTGTTAATTACTTTACAAACTCAATTAAGTGATGCCTTTTGTATGAATGTGTGTAAAAACATGTTATAGTTTCAATCTTTTGKATTGTGTAATCAAAACATATTTTGTAATTTGATCGCATCTAATTTCTTTGCCCTTGTAATGTGATTATATACTGTAAGTGCAGCATTAGGTCGTAACATCCTGATGCTAGATTGTTTAGCAAAGGGATATAAGTCTTATATGACAGCAATTGGTTTTGTATTTACAATTTGTAAGATGATTAAAATTTATGAAATATGCTTCAAATCTTGTMAATCTTTACATATATACTGCATGGCCAGTAATGCTAGTTACTGCATTTTTGACAAAAGTTGTTGCACTTTTTATCCTCACTCCTACGTGAATAGGTGCAACATATAACAGATAAAATCATTAAACAAATGGCGTAGGTGATTGCATTGTGCCAAGAAGCAATTGAAGGGAAACCTAAGGTTATGTTAAACTTCATGTGCAGTAGTACCCCATCTTGCCTGGTGGTTGCTATATTTTTCCTTGTTGTCTCATACTGTTTGGGAAAAACTAAAGAAATCAGTTAACCCTTTTTCACCATGTCTGTAATCAATAGACCATATTCCATACTAATAATTTCATCATTGTGTTTATAGAGTACATTGATCCAGTCTCAAACCAAAACTCCTGGCAGGTTCAAAGCCCATATAGTTATCCTGGGTAAGTAATAGCAATGCAATGTTTCCTATTTAATTAGTTCACCAATCAACATCTTTATAATTCTCACACTCAGATCCTTCTCAGTTATTTCCCAAAGGAAAATTAAAGATTCCAGTTGGAAACAAATGATTGTTTGATTTGATTCAATGCATCATATCATATGACCAAGATTCTGGGTTTTCCAGTATTGTTTCCAAACAGCAGAATCTTTGATTTTGCTGTTGGAAAACTGAGAAGGATCTGCATATATATGAGAATTAATTCTTGTGTTATAGTGATTAGATCAGAGGGATATTTTACATGTATCTCATGAGATAAACCAGGAAGTTTACATAAAAAAGTGATAATTTCTGTTAACTAATTTGCTTTGTTCTCTAATACACTAGAGGCTACCATGGAGCCTACCAGGAAGCTCCCATGGCACCTCCAATGGCTCCAAACCCACAAAACCAAGTAAGTACATGAATCATTGATAAGCAACAAAGTGCACTTAACAATCCAARAATTTGTTTAACTGTACTGTGGCTAGTCAAGATGACAGTTAAAACTAGTAATTAGCAATAGATTATCACATAGCTTTGATCTTGCTGATGGTTTGTCACCATTTTAGAGTTATAAAGATTATTATAAAAATGTTTCCAAATCATAAAAAGCATCCACCAGTAAAACTGTTTTTAATGCCAAATACATACACATTGAAAGAAACTTTGCTTCTTTCCAAGTCATTCTATGTCATCCATTCAATCAGCAACTTCAACRATATTTGCATCCTCAGTTACATGTTAGGGAAAATTGATGGAAAGTAGGTAACAGAGTTTTGGCATTCACTGTTAACACCAGTTGTAGTATAATTTTCTTTCTTTTTATCTGTCTGGGTCTAGTTTGTTCACAGATTACTTGTAAAAAGAAGTTAAAGGCCTAGTATGCACCATTATGCTTTGGGGCCCTTGGGCTGCCATTTTCAGTTTACTGAAAGTCTATAAATTGTACTGTGTGTTTCGAATCTTTGACCATCTCACTTTTCTAAGCACTTTAAACAATAATATTAGAGTTTTCAACCATCTTACTTTGTTTTATGGTGATATTTGGATACTAGAAGTATTTTGGTGTAAATCATAACAATAACAGAGGGTTGCAAAGCATAATGGTGCAAACTGGGCCTTAAAGAATACAAGATTTAAGACAATTCCAACAACAATAATTTTTTCATGAGGAGGGGTGATACTGATTTTAAAATTTCATTGGGAGAGATCTGGTTTAATGGTCTAATTCCCAAACGTCAATAGATAAAACAATAAATTACATTGATTTCCTAGGGGTCCTAGGGGAATAAAATACAAGAAATTACAATAAGGAGGGGTGATACTGATTTTAAAATTTCATTGGGAGAGATCTGGTTTAATGATGATCCCGTCTGTCATAGGGATCACATGTTTTCTGAAAATATCCAATGTAAACAAGAATGTGAAATACCAATATTCATAAAGGGTTTTACCGGATTAAGGTTACCCCGGACACTACCGGGAGGTGTTTAAAAAAAAATCATATCTCGCTCGATTTAATAGGAAACCCGCAAAAATTATACATTTTCTGAGAAACAAAATGACAAAGAATCCATATCTGGACGTATTTTTTGATAAAATTGATTATTTTAAAAGACATCAAGGACTTGACGAGAACACAGTGTCTCCGCGCGAGAGATTCGTTTGCAGAAAGTTTTACGTAGAAAGATAAACTTTTTTGATAATCCTGTTACCGAGGCATTGTTCTGCAAAAGTGTGTCTGCGTTTGGCTTTTCAACGCTTCCTTATTTTTTTATTCGATTTTAAAATTAGACTAGTCCCTATTTTACCTCATCCCTCACAAAACTGTTTATTTCTCGACAAAGAAAACTTAAAAAGAAAAACGCAGACACACTTTGAAAAGTCAGTAATGTCCGAATCGACATGCAAAATTTAGAGGAAATTCGTCTGATAAGTTCTGCAAACGAACCGTTTGAATTTTAGTATTTTATCGAAATCTACTTTTACGAAAAATGAAGTTGAAGTTTAATGACAAGCGTACTCGTTCGTTAGCCAATAAGCATAAGAAAGAAATACGATACAAGAACGGTGGGAGAGCATATTCAGCGAACGTGACCTTGTTGTTTGACCTTCTTMGCGGACTGTGCAACGAATAGTAATAATTTTCAGTAAGTTTWCTCAAAATGGTGAATCCCAAAGGCCTTGGCAAAGGATATTTTCAAGTATACAGTGGAATACATGTAAGTATCGCTTTGGTCTTTATATTGCTTGATGTGAAGTTTGTGATGTTATGTGACCCCGTCGTGCTTTGATAACGTGACTATTAATTCGCCAAGACTTACGATGACAGCCGCAGTCAGCAGTAAAACACSTTTCAGAGAACCTCAAAACGTTTTTTGTTTATAACTAGTTTAGAAAAAAATRCATCGGCATAARCTTWAGTYAAAGTTGTAGATATACTTCTTTTAATTCGCTCAGACTAATTTAAAAATTTTGAAAGATTTGACGAAAATAGTGTCCGGGGTAACCTTAAATCAGATGCTACAGTATATTGTGCTATATATAAATAAATAAAGTAAAGTCTTTTGTTTTGAGAGGGTAGCACGTAATAGTCCTTAGACTAATAAACTTGTGGCCCTCTATATATTATTCACTCATACTCACTACCTCAACATTTATTATTTTACTACACGACACTCCTCACAGCCAGTTTTTTGACTGAGGGAGGAAAACCAGCGGACCTGGAGAAAAACCCTTGGAGCAAGGAAGAGAACCAGCCTACAAACTCAAATCACATTTAGTCCCGGACCGGGAATCGAACCAGGACCACAGCGGTGATAGACCGGCGTTTTAACCGCTCTGACATCCTTGCTCCCCATATATAATATAGGTTTTTTGGAAAATAATATATCAAAACAAAAATGTGGCCTTTCTTTGCTTGCCTGTGATATATTAAGTTAAAACATAATGAATGGGGCTTCCTGTGTAGGAGGCATTCCACATTCACTGGTGTTATGCAGGTACTTATGCTTTATGGCYTAACTGAATTAAGATGGCGCTTTTCCATTACATAAGTCAAAACAACCAATAATGTTTTGTGTATAAAAGCTGTAAATAGTTTGATTTTACTACTATTAAACCTTGTACTATACACTTTCAGGACTATTCAGTTGATCATTCTCAGTTTTTTTTCATATTTTGCTCATATTGTCTGATTGTTTAAGTACTTTGTTCGTCTTAGTAAAATATTTATACTTAAAATAATTGTACTCAGGCTGATGCATGGGAAGATTTCCCTGATGACTGGCCAGAGGATCTGAATGTAAACACAACAAAGAACCTATCAAATGGATACAGCAATGAAGCACGCCACATAACCCAACAGCCTGTTATTCAGGTACTAATATTAATGATAATTAGTTATCATTTACAATTAAGTGGACGTAATTAGTATTATTATTGCTGTCAAGACATTCTAAATGTGGCCACTTACTAGATAAAACTGTCCAAGTAACAGTCAGTAACTTACTAGTAAAACTGGCCAAGTAACAGTCAGTAGATACTGACAGAGAGCGAGATAATCAAACTACAGTGTTTTTCTTGTGCTTATTATGTTTTTCCTGAAAGCTGAAATATAAATTGGTGCTGATCAAATTTGTATAAATTTAATGGATCTAGTTAAACTATAAATTTTAATTAAAGGGGATTGCATATGACTTTGCAAAGGCACATATTATGATGCAGCATTGTCACAGAGCCCTTATGTGGTATTGCATTGGTTTAAAAAAAATAAACATTTAAAAATAAACAAAAAAATTATTTTCCTGGATTGATGTGTTCACAGTTTGTTCTATTTTGATTTTATTTTTTACCAGAGTCCTAGTCCATTTTTTAATCCTCAAGTACCATCAGTTCAACAGTCATTTCAATCTACTCCAAAAGGTATTGAAATGAAATTAGTTTTCATTTGCACATTGGTAAATATTCTTACTAGAACAGGACATTGGATGGGATGTATAAATGTAGGTGCACATTCCTATACCCAGATCTTTCTCAGTTTCTAAAGGAAGATCAAAGACTCTGTTTGSAAACAAATGATTCTTTGATTTGATTGGTTCAAAAATTCCCATKYATCATATCATTCAAGCCAGATTCTGGGTYTTCTGGTATTGTCTCCAAACAGGGAGAAGCTGGGGAGGATCTGGATACAAGAAGTAGGTGCAGGGATACATCTCCTCTACATACTAAGAATTTTTTTTGTATAATGTTCCTTATTTTAATTTGAAGTTTCATTTGTTACAGACTCAGATATGGCAAATGTCAGATCTGGATTGTCATATGCTGCTGCTCTGAGTGGRAAAACWGAGGGGAAGCCTGCAAAGGAACAAAGKAMTTCCAGTGGATTTGATGATATTGACTTGAATGATGACAGTGGTAAGTGTGCAATAATATTGTAAATAATGGGTGAATCAAAATGATTATCCAGAATGATTATATTTGCCTAGACATACAGTAGATGTTGAGTTAATGARTGTGCATATGGTTGGGTACAATGATGACTTAAAAGTTCTTTTGCCCAGGTTTTGAAACTGCAAGGAATGTGAATAACAAAGGCATATTRAATGATGTTAATCATTGTCATTGAAATGGCTAATGAATTCAGTAGTCAGTGAATGAATGATTGGAAAAAAGGAAAGAGTGTTTAAAGATTATGAAAAAATTGGGTTTAAATGGATGAAGAAATGGGAAATGATAGATAGATACAGGTAGATACTATATGTTTATTCATACCTCTTCCAACCAGATAGCTGAATTACAGGTATGGCCAGATAATAAAAACTGAATGAGCAGATATTCAAATTTAATGATCTCTCTGGGATTGGATGAAGGGATAAGTGATTTAATGAATGGGATTAGATGAGTGATTGCATTAATTTACTTATGCATATGTGGGGTTAAACAAACAATAAATGGGATTGATACTGTACATCGGGGAATTGAAATTGAATGAGTGAATGAATAAATCATTGCATAGGATTGCATGTTAAGTCAAACAATAATAATAGAAATATATGTGTGGGATTGAATCAATTAAGGGAATTAAAAATTTAAGTGGATAAATGAGCTTGAAAAAATGGATGAATGAATAAATGGATAAAGAAACTAATGGGATGTGATCAATAGAAAAATGAATAGATGGTATTAAAAGAATTAATGGTATTGGAAGAACAGATAATTGAATACATGGGATTTAAAGAATGAAAGGTTAAGGGAATAAAAGACAACCAATTATTTTCAAGTATCTTCAAGTGTGGTATTGATAGTTTTTAATCATCTTCTTTCATCGCAAACTTGCAGCCAACTTCTTTTCTGGCAWTGATAACCAGCAACACCTCCAGSCATCTGTTAATGCTGTAAATGATGCATTTGGTCTTTCTGCCCCAATGCTTCCTGSTGCACCATCTCCATCTATTCCTTTCTCAACAAGTGCAGCAGTTGAAGAGGAACCACATCCTGCAGATGCTCTTGCAGAGGCATTCAGCATGTCAGGCCCWCCTAAAGGCATGAAGGTTACCTCTGGTATCAACCCATTTGCAAAGCGATCTTCACCAGCCACCACTGCTCATGCTACAGGGAAAGTTAGCCCATTTGACCAAATCTCTCACATTCAGCAGCAACCAGTGAATGCAGTATTTGATTCCTTTTCTCCTGATCCACAACCAGTGAATGCAGTATACAATGCCTTTTCTCCTGATCCACAGCAGAGCAGTCCACAAGAACAATCTGTTTCTGAGGCATTTCCATCACAACCAAAMGAAATTCTCACACCACAGCAAAATAACTCTATTGCAAATTCCTTCTCTAGCCAGTCAGAAGAAAGCTATAACACTCAAAATGGTGATGCTGTTGCTGAAGCATTTTCAACACATTCTCAAGAAGTACACAAACCTAAGCATGCTGATATTGTCGCTGAAGCTTTTTCAACATCATCCCAAGAAGTTTTCAGACCACAACAGAATGCCTTGTTTGCAAATCMRTGCCATGGAACATCTCATGAGCCAGATGTGGTAGCAGAAGCATTCTCTGTTCCAACACAGGAGAACTACAGATCACAACAGAATGGTTCTGAGAAAACCACTGGACAAYCCCTGCMAGCACACAACACTGAGGAAGGTAGTACTGTTGCAGAAGCATTCTCAGCACAATCACAARAAGTATTGAAGCTTCCACATGCTGATCTGGTTGCAGAAGCATTTTCTACATCATCTCAAGAGGYTTTCAGACCACAGCAAAGTAACATGGTTGTAGAGCCATTCCATGGAACATCCCATGAGCCAGATGTGGTTGCAGAAGCATTCTCAGCACCAGCACAAGAGAATTTCAGATCACAATGTCAGATTGAATCGGAGCAAATAGGGCCAATCTCTGGAAAACTGCTGGAGAATGACAACACAACAAAAGGTGGTACTGTTGCAGAAATGTTCAATCCTGAACAAGCTGATTTAGTTGCAGGAGCATTTTCAGCTTCATCTCAAGAGATTATCAGASCACAACAAAATGACTTAGTTGCAGAGGCATCCCATGTTTTGCCTCATGAACCTGATCTGGTTGCAGGAGCATTTTTAGCTCCAGAGAATTACAGCTTACATCAAAATGACTCTGAACCATTTTCTGCACAGCTACTACAGAATCACAACTCTGAAAAAGGTGATTCTGCCACTGAAGGAGGAGACATTTCTAGTTCACAACAAAATGACTTCATTGCAGACTCATTACATGGTTCATCTCATGAATGCCATAATTCAGTTGAATTCTCATCATCAGCAAAAGAAATTTTCCACCCACAACTGAATGATTCTGTTGTAAAACCATTCTCTGATCAAATGCAATTGAACCCCTATCTGGAACAAGCTGAACCTCTTGCTGGGGCATTTAATGCTGAACAACAAGATGATATCAGGTCTCATCTGAATGATTTGGTTGCTGAACCTCTTGTTGGRGCATTTGATACAAAAMAACAAGAAAGAATCAACCCAAAGCAGAATGATTTACCCCAAAAAGAAGATGCCAAGAAGATCTCAGATGCTTTCTTTGGTGCACAAGGGAGCTTTGTGTCTAAACCTACAAGCCAAGCTACAAATGATCTATGTGTTCCAAATRTTCAGGGAAATAACACTGAACCCAAGTACAGGAKTGAAGTCACTGATCCTTTTTCYATGGCTGACTCTCGGGAACATATTTCACACAAGGATGGATCGGCTAGTACTTCTCTGGAKAGCAACACAGAACTTTCACAAAGGAGTTCAAGTACAGATGCATTGGCCATTACTGCCCCTTGGGAAAACACTTCTGAACTGCTCCAAAGTAGTTCAAGTCAAGATGCCTTGCCTATGGTTGATACACCTGYAGARAGCAATACTGGTCATCCCCAAGCAAGTTCTGTTTCAGATGCTTTCRCTACAACTTCTTTTCAGAAAAATGATAATGAACACTTCCAAAGTAGCCCATGTCATGATACATTTCCCATGGTTGATCCTCCTCAGGATAGTATATCTGACCACACTCAAGTCAATTCTAGTTCAGAAGCTTTTKCTACAACAGTTCCTCAACAGAGTAATACTGAACTTTTCAAGACYAGTTCAAGTGCAGAAGCTTTTGYACYGCATCCGGCTTTTCMCCAGGGAAGCAACACTGAGCTRGACAATGTCCATCCAGCTGAAGATGCTCTAAATATGGCATCTCCCCAGCAGAGTCACACTGACATTGCCCAGACCAGTCCAAATGCAGATATATTGAACAATGGTGCCCAACCACAGAGAAGCGATGTACAARGCAGCYCAAGTGTCMATGAACCATATGTGGGTGTTTCAAACCAATTCAATTCTGGTCCTGTTGAACTCMCTGTAGATTATACTCAAGGAAGTAATACTGCTGAGCTTCCCMAAAGCCAATCAAGTGACTTTGGAGTGCCTACTTTGTCTCAAGAGAATGATAATCAACAGTCAAATACATTTTCGGCATCCAGTGCATCTCAAGGCAGTGTGAAACCTGGTGGTTCAGCAGTAGAGGCCTTCCCTGCTTCTGATSAAGCAAAGCCTACTGGGGTAAATCCTTTCAGAAGACCTGCTCCAAACATTTCTCCTGCACTTGGGTCATTTGTGAGCCAGTACTCACCAGATGAGCAYAATCCAGCTTTTGCAAAAACCCATGTGAAGCACCAGAGACCACTAAATGTTACAGCTCCAATTGGCCATGGTACACATACTATGTCTTCTACAGGAAAACTCAGCACATTTGGTGATGTGACACCCAAGGAACATAAGTTTGATAATGCTGTGATCAATGATGTGGTTAAGTCAAACAGTGGAAATGATGGTCCAGTTGGTCAGGATGATAAGTCAGAAAAACAATCACAAGAATTGTCTAAGCCAGGTTAGTTTTATAGGTTTTATATAAGAATAAATGTTATGCCAGTATTCTGATTCTGAATTTTTATAAAGTACAGTACAGAACCTGGGTGAAAATAAAGTTATGATATTCCTGTCTTTTGCAAAAAAAAATCAATCTTATCATTACACTTATCCAATACTAATGAATGTTAAATTTGATTCTTAGCCTCAAATCCCTCAGCCACGGAAACCTCGAGTGTTAACAGTGAAGTCCCTACTCCTCCACCTCCAGTCATACCAAGTACTGGTCCAATGGCTATGGTGAGTGAATGATTGTGATCTTTTCCTTAACTTTTACAAGTTATTGTGCTCAAAAACTGATATCTTGAAATACTGATAACTTGCATGTAATTCCCAGTGTGTGCAGCTATGCTGTACACAAGTACATGGATGTCTACATACTTACATTCAAGTGCAAGATAAACTTAACRATGCACACAAAAATGGCTGTCCTTTTTAAAGAAAATAAAGTGAAGAATACTGACTAATCAGAGAATTTTCGAGAGATCAGTAATACTTAATTAACTGCTAACAAAAAGATCTCAAAGTAGAATGTAGAGACATCTTGTGATGTGTGACTTCTGGTAGCAATATTCACAAAGCATATATTTTTAACCATAATTTTTTGGCATTAATTATGTATTTTGTGCTCCAACTGTTTGTGTTTATTGTTCTTRTTAAAAAGTAATTAAATTTGGAAGCATTAAGAATATGAACCCTGTAGAGTTTAACATGCATTGTCTTCTTATTSCAGACATTTAGACAATCAAGGGAAAAGAAAGCAAGAACTCCAGTGGCCATGTCATCTCTGTGGTCAAACCAAAACTCAACCACTGGGGCTCCCCCTTTCATGCTTGCACCAGCACTAGTGGTATGCTTTTATTTTAGAATAATCAAGACTTTTTTGCAAAAAGCATATTAAGATGATTGATTAGTATGCATTTTCAATAATAAAATAGGATRAAATAGACCCTAATTTTATGCATTAACGAACCCTCTACTTCTAGACAGCAGCTGCATTTAGTAGGTTAATTTAGACTCAAAGTGGTTTTATTCATTGCTTGGTGTGAGTAGTGCAGACACATTAGACAAATAAATCAAATCAATTTGTGTCCACAGCACCTCAAGTGTGTGCTGTACATTTAATTATCTTTGTTACGCTTTGCTTTTTGATTAATCCTAGTATTAAGTGATAATGTGCTAATGACTTAATGATTTGATTATAATTATTATAATGATCATGTGCTTGAAATAATATTAATCATTATTGTTTATTAGTTATTAATTATTWGTCTCATCTACCATGTCAGCCTCAAACAGTACCAGTTGAAGTTCAGAAACCTGCTGAGTCTGTTGCTGAAACGCCAGAACCTGTTGAGACAAAGAAGATTGACCTTCATGATCCCAACCTCAGCAAGAAGGAAAGGTAATTTTAATAAAAAGATATCATGCACTAGAAAATAATAATTATTTTCATTCTGTTCTTTTTGTCTTAGTAGTTTATATTARATTAAAATGTAATGAGGTTATTAATATTTTCTATTTAAAAAAATGCAGAAAAGCTGAGAAAAAGAGGCTAAAGGCACTTGCCAAAGAGCAGAAGAAAGCACTGAAGAAATCAAATGCAGGTAGTTCAAATACTGAGAGTCAGGAAAAGGAAACAGTCCCGGATAAAACAAAAGAAAAGGGGAATCCTCATGGAAGAGAAGTCACACCTTCACATGATACTCCTCTTGACAATGGCGGGAATCCTCATAACAATTCATCAAAACCACATGGTAGGTTCATTCATTCACTATTAAATCTTAGATGAGAGCAAGTAATGAATAAAAAAATATATAAATATATGTCAAACACAAACACCCATCAAATAAGAAAACATGTAGTCAGTACTGTAACAATTGGTGATCTTATACACCCTTTTAATAAGTCCCGAGGTATTACGTTCTCCGCACTTGACGTCAAATTTATTCTTTTGAATTCCTTTTGTATTGCAAAAATTTCAAAAGAATATATTTAACATCAAGTGCAGCGGAAAAACAATACCTCTGGASTTATTAAAAGGGTGTATAATGTGTGTTTTACTGTATTGTTGTTAATGCTACTTTGATRTTTTAATGTTAATGGCCACATGGATCAAAACTGCCAGCAATGCTCAAGGAAACGCTGGAAAATGTTGTGGTAAACATCGGTTTTCCAAATGTTTCTTAGATAATTGGCTGGTTGTCAACATCATGAGCACTGTTATTTTTGTTACTTCTATTTACAATAACATTTGATGTCAATTAAGGGTTGTAACAAGGTACATATATATGGGATAAGGCGATRTGTGTTATTGCAAGAAATCAAAATATCATTGTTTTGTTTAATTTATTTAGCTTGGGGTTGGAATTAGTCTGTTTTATGTTGGGATCTGGAATCAAAAYTATTGTGTGAATTATTATGGGATCAATGATCAAAGGATTGTACAATCTACTGTAGCCTTTTTGCTGCTCCCCCAACAAAGAATGCCTGAACAAAGGGTAAATCTAATGCCATCATTTCAAGGATTCAATGTACAATATTTATTAGATTAATATCCTTGTTGAATAATGCACACTTTCTTGCTCAATTCTATTCTTTATCAATCTTCTAACTGTAGTTGATAAACCAATTGCCCATGGGAACCCTCATCCACCACCTGGGAGCAACAGTAACTATGGAAATTTGCCTCCTGATGCTCAGCACCACAACCCACACACAACTGGTCATAACTATGGAAACCCTCATGGAAATCCATCACCTGTTGGTCACCATGGCAACCCACATAGCAATCTGAGACCTGACAGTCAAAATAGCAACCCTCACGGTGCCAGGAATACATCTGGGGGCCATGAACAAGTTGTGCAATCTGATGGTTACCATGGAAACCCACATGGCATCAGTGATAACTRTGGGAACTATCCGAATATTGAAGGTGGTCACCAAAGCAACCCTCATGGTAACACTGATAACTATGAGATACAACATCAAAATATACCATCTGATAGTCACTATAGCAACCCACATGACTTGGACAACCCTAGGTTACGHGAACTCAGAGAATATCATTATTATGATAAATCACCTCGGCATGAGTCTTCAGGGAGTAGGTCRCCATCAAGACAATATGATTATGATGAGTATACATATAGGGGAAATAAAGGAAATAGTGGTGGATACTCACCCAGGAACAGCCGTGATGAGAGTTCAAGAAGAAGTGAAAGTCCTTATGGTGCATATCAGGACAACCCTCAACACAAAAATGAGAGGTACCACGGGGCAACTCGCCGGGAAATGGAAAAGTATGGTGACCAAAGTGCATTTGATTATCCAAGAAGGAGGAGAAGTCTTGATTATGAACACTATGAGGGCAAGAGGCCACATGAGGACAGCTCTTACTTAGATCACAGTTATGAATCRATAAAGTCAGATCGCTTAAATCGTGATGAATATTATCATGATTACTACAGGGATCGTTATCGATACGGAAGCACTGAGAGATTGGACGGGGGATTTAAGCCAATACATCCTAATGACTATAGAGACAGTTATAGATCCCATACTCCATCATCTGGCTCAGGTCGCAGCTCACCTAGTAGTTATGGTAACTATCCTCRCCATGATCAGGGGTATTACGGTCATTACCCCCCTTAYCCAGGGTACCCCCCTGATCCTTATGGTTACTACCAAGGTCATTATGGTCATATGCCTTATCCATACTATCCCTACCCTCCCTATCCTTATGACTATTATCAACACTATGGTGCATATGGGCATGGAAGTGCTTACCCTAGTGGAGATGGTAGTTATCAAGAGCAACAACAACAACCAGAGGAGCAACCTGAAGAACATGCATTAGATAAAGGACAGCAAGGTATTTTGACAAAATTGAAGATGTTTTCTCTACTCAGTTTAAGTTGAATGAGGGCCAGATAGACTGCTTTGAAGTGTACATGAAATCATTACAACCATGGATTCAACTSTGCTATATTGTGCTTTATTAGTGAAACAAAGTAAGGACGGCCAAAGGCACAATGAATGGCAATGYAATGCATAGGCAAGCATAAAATTGAGTGTCAGTGCCAACATCCTAACTGCTTTGTTTCAMTGATTTAAAACACAGAAATATATTCATGATTGCACAAAGCCATAAGCTAGTGAGTAGAAATTAAATTATTTTGTCTCTGGTTGAGATGTAGAATCAAAACATTTTCCAGGCATTTCAATCCTTTATCATAGATCTTCACAAGTGCTAAATGACATGGCATGCGGTGTATTATCATCAAATTTGTTTTTAACAGATAATTCATAAAAAAAGATTGGAAAACTAATACATAAAATATGTTATTGTTCATAGAAGAAGTACAAGAGGTCAAACCACTACGAACTACACCTCTTCATTTCCTGCGACCTCATATGACCTGTAGGTTTGGTGCTGGAGGTAAATTGTTGATAGTCCTTCCTAACCATCCAGAAGATGGCATGAAACCATTGGTGGAGATCCAGAAATTGAAGGTGTGTTTWTATTACTGTTGCTATTCACCTAACATCATGTTGACACTGTTGGTGGTACATGTATGTTAAAGAATTATACTCAATATCACTGTCATATAACTGCTACTCTTTTATCAATTGAATCATTAAAAAAGTATTTGATAAAAATGATGGAATTTCATTCAGTTGTTCATTTATTAAACAATGAAGTTGTTTACTTGTGTTCACTTATGGAGAAGTTGGGCCACAAATTAGAATAACATGGCTTAATTATACAGAACATTCATCATTTTGACCATATAATTTACTTTGTCTGCATCATGATGTATGCACTTGCAAGAGGCAGAGTTTATTGCTAACTCTAATTATTTTGAATTTTRTAATTCTCCATGCTTCAGTTTATTTAATATCCATTTTCAATTCATACTGTTTTCTGTAAGGTTGTATTCACACAAGAAGAAAAGGAACAAATGGAAACCTTTCCTGGGCCTCTTACTTGGTAAAAAATGATTATATTACTSATGCTAATATYTGTTAAATTCTAWATGCACTGATGATAATAATGATTATTTTTTATTATTATTTGTCTATTAGTCAAGGCACAATGAAAAGACAAGTTTTAGAGTTTATTCAAGACAAAACAGACCAAATCCAACGATCCTCATGCACCCTTGCTATCAAACAGGCCAAATGGGTTTTATGGAAGTTCTTCCAATCTCTTGTAAAGCATAATGGGGTAAGTTATCCATCCAGCAGTTGTTGGCAACACAACAAAATTGATTTAGGGCATTGCTTAATTGTTCTGTCTTACAAATGCATCAAATGCATGTACGATATCATATATATTGAATCTATTTTTGTGTTTAGAAAGTACTTGAAAACTCCTGGGCCGGGTTGTTAAAAGCTTGATTAGTGTTAATCCAGGGTTAACTCCATAGGTTTCTTTAAGAGTTAACCCAGGATTAGCGCTAATCGAGCTTCCAACAACCCGGCCTTAGTACATATGACCCGGCCTTAGTACATATGCCCTGGAAATGTCATCAAAACTTTGATTAGTGTTGGTTGATTTGACTTCTTTTCTGCCAATAATGCTTATGAATAGAGTGTCAGTCTTTTCTTATGTCATTCTATAAAATCTACTGTTACAGTATAAGTTTCATCATTTGACACCAATCAGACTAATTATCTTAGCTGAGGTTTGAAATTCATGTAATTTATGTTTTTTAGGCTGTAGTTGCTGATGACATTGCTGAGATGCTAATGACCTCAGTCCACCTTTTTGAAAAGAAAAAGAAAAAGCGTCATTCCAGCAGTGGMTCCAGCAGCAGTGACACGTCAACTGACAGCAGCAGTACATCCTCTTCTGATTCATCCACAAGTGATTCATCGTCAGATGATTCTCAAGAAAACACAGAAGAAAAACCTGTAGATCATCTGTTGGTTTTTMGAGGTCTTCTTCTTGAGGGACATTCAAAGGAGGCTCTTGATTATGCMATGAAAAATGGCTTATGGGGTCATGCTGTACTGGCAAGTGGGTTGATGGATAACAAGGGAAATAATTCTATGCTGGACACTAAGACAAGTTCTGGTGTTATTCAAAGGTAAATAGAATGGAGAAAACAAGAATAATGTTAGGGTTACTTAGCTCAACACAACCTGAGATCTCAGCATCATTTATAATGTATCATAAGCTTCAGTTAGCATAGGTTTGCTATTCATTGACAGAAAGAAGGAAAATAGTTCAAAAACTGTTCTGTTGTGAAACAGTAAAGACTGCAGGATATTTTCATGATTTTGTAACAACTGGCTAAAACCTTGATGTTACCTTCTCATCATATTAGTTCCCTTTCATGGCAATGTGTAAAAGTGTGGCCACCAATAATGTTTTCGCATACCTCACCATCAGTCTAATTGACATCTTTATCCCGGACACAATCTTAYTTAGCTGTCATTGGTTAACGACCGTGTTAGAAGTATGCAAATAGATTAAAAGTGGCCATGCTTTTATGCATTGTAAAGTTGTGTATCAATTTTTTGCAAATTAAAACATTTTTTATCAAAGTTCCTTTAGTGGAAGTTTAGTCATATATATGTTTCTTGTACTAGATTCTTTGCTACCCTGGACAAAGGTGACCCTCTTATAACTCTGTACGAGCATCTAGGTGGAAAAGTGCCACATTCATTGAGGGTAAGATTTTTTCTTTTGTGTTTTTAGTGTTATTGGGAATAAGACAGTATTAAAATGTAAATTATTGRAGATTCTGCTATCTGACTCTAGAGGGAGATCTTTTATTATTTTAGAAAGCAAGAGGCATAACTGTGATGTTAAATTATTTTAGTGGATAAAATGTGAAGATTTCCAACTGATGACATYGCGACTCTGCTAAAATAATGAATAATAAAGATATGACAATATAACAATAATAAAAAAAGAAGTAAAGAAAGCTATAATTTATGATTATTCTTTTTCTTCTTGTAGAGCCATGAAAATTGGGCATCAAACCTTGCAGGAATTGTGGCTAACCCAACTGCTTTTCCAGACAAAGACAAGGATAACATTGTTACTCTTGGGGATACACTGGGTAAGYTAAGGAGTCATTCTCTTGGGGTGTAGGGGGGATRKTGGGTTGCATTGYTTTATATGTCTATTACAGCCTGTAGAAGATTTCAAAAGAATAATTTTTATTAACCAAAAGGTACAAGTTAATTTGACATTTGTAAACTTGTAAATGTAATTTATGATCAAATTCAGTGCAGGTGCAAAGGCAGTGTTTCTGTATTATTTCTATTTCTACACTTCTATTATAAAAAGGATAAACTTAGATATGACTAGAATAGTGGACAAGTGTAATGGTTATAACTTTGGTTGCTTTGAATAAAAATGGGGGTCCAGTATGCATTATGTTTGGTCATCAAAAGTAATTAAGGAGCAGTATAAAAACGTACTGTACTTCTGTAATATATTAATTAACCAGAGGTTGTTTTATTTACCTCAGCCAAACAACCTGACCTTCTACATGCCTCTCATTTATGTTATCTAYTGGCTGGTATTAGACCTGGTCCTAAAGCCAAGATGGTTCTTGTTGGGTGTGATCATAGGTATAGTTTATTAAAACCACTTCAAATTTCGTTGACCTGTTAATTTTCAAAATGTTTCATACATGACCAAATCCTCACAAATTTGTACATGTCATTGTATTCTATTGTGTTAATCTATTGTTGTTGTTATGTGGATACAATACAATACTATGCTAAAAATAGGCCATTTGCAGCTGGGAGTCACATGTCCACACCTGCCTTAAATCAATCAGCAATGACAAAGTGATGTTCAGAAATGGAAAGAGGACTTTGTTTGATGTCTCAACACTAAATATTTCAAAATTGATAGCAAATATAAAATCTTTTTTTTTTCTAAAGAAACATGCAAAAACAGAACTGGAGAGCAAGGCTTGCACTCCAGTTCTATTTTCCCATACATTTCTTTAGAAAAATTAATATTTTGCATTTGCTGCCATTTTTGGAGTATTTAGAGTTGAGACTTTGCTATTTTGCCAACATAAACCTGCTCTTTCCATTTCTAAACATCATTTTTTTATTTTTTTAAGGTAGCTGCAATGGCCTATTATCAGATTAACAACCCTCATCTACATGTAGAGCATCGAGTCTCACCCACATATAGCTATCACCAATCTAATTGAATAATTTATTATTTTTTTAGAAATAAATCCCTCAATCAAGCTGCAAATATAGAATCCTTRCAGCTTACAGAGGTGAGATAGCTACGAAGCAAAAAATAATTGGATATAGGATTATAAATAAAACTAATTAAATTAAWATATGTCTTCAAAATATATCAAAATAAATAACTTCATGATTGTGTCTTTGTTCTTTAGTTATTAGAATATGCTTCAAGCCTTGAAAATCCTGAATATTTTATATCAAATCTCCAAGTAAGTACAGATTTTAATAAATAATCGTGAAGAACAGTCCTAATGCATCACTCAATTGACATTTTTCCGCAAAAGAGTACCATTTTACTAAATGTTTGATTTTCTGTTTTCTTATGTATAGCTATTTAGATACATACATGCAATGAGGCTTATGGATGCTGGACTCCACAAAGAGGTGAGATTGTGTGACATTGGTTGTGTGACATTAAAGAACATGTGACAAGTTAGTGCGGATCRCCTGCTGTATGTTCTTAATTTTGTTTCAATTTTTTGCAGGCACTTGCTTATCTCCATACTGTCGGAGATTTTATCATCAAAAATCACTTTGCATTTAATGAGGTGTTCAAAAAAAGTGTTTACCAGGTAAAYATTTAAATTACATCATCCATTTGTCTATTAGGTATTCCTATTGGTTTACAAAAAAATGTGAGTGGAGATCTACAAGGCTTAACTTTGATATTTTCTATCTAACATTGTATCACAGACTGCTGAGCAGTTGGTTGTTCACATGGAGAGTTCTGGGACTAGTATAGAGCTTTTTATCAATAACTGGTTAAAGAAACTCAAACAAGTKGTTGATGGAACAGATGTAAGTTAATCTAAATTATTATTGCTTTTAGAGTTAATTCATTAAACCCTTGCACAAAATTTAACTATTAACTTTGTGTAATTTCACGGGGTTTTTGACTTCACTGTAGCAAAAGCTTGAAAACTTACTTAGTAATAATATTTTGTACAATTTTATTATTTGTTTTGAGCCTTATAGTTGCTATGCTTGAAGTATGTAATTGTAAGCACTGTGTTAATTTCKTATTTTTAGAGTGGTATATTTGAGGTACAAAAAGATGAATCAGAAAACGAGGAAGAAGAAGATCCATTAGCTGAGAGTAGTGTGTCGTTCTTCAGTGGATATGATCAATCAATTGCATACAATGACAAGCCTTCACCAGAATCAACCACCCACTCTGTAGCATCAAGACAACCCAGCATACAATCTAACAACACAACTACTTCTGGGCCAAGYGGGCACTCTCCTCTCTCACGGAAGGATAGTCAGATGTCTGTACACTCGCATCCTGTTCTTTCGCGCAAGGAAAGCCAGTTGTCCACACATTCCTCCATTGCTCCTTTGCAAACTCTTGACATGACTCAACCATTACCAACACAAATCTACCAACCAGGGGAACCAGTGGGACATAAGGATTCGTTTTCCAGCCAGGATCAGGCAGATGGTACTCCAATCCAGGAAGAACATTACCAGTCGAATGACATTTTCCAGCCAAATGATAACCAAGTTCAATGGCAACAACACCCCATTCAAGATAACACTATGAATGTTGGTATGGGAAATGGTATGTTTATGCCGRGTACTACACAACAGAATAACTGGCCTATTCCTGAACAAGGTAAGACGATATATATTTTTACCAGATCTTGAAACAACACTACGACAGATTTTGAATACCTTTTTTGTCAAAACATGACAATAATGGTAACTTCGTTGATTCATAATGAATCATAATGAAGCAATGAAGCAATCTATTGCTATATTTGATAATTATTGCACATCAAGGGCTGATTGTACAAGGGTGGATAGCGCTATCTACCTCTGACAAATACTCATCCATCAGATAAAATCCAAACAAAGTCTAAGGAGTGAATAACTTTATCCAGCCTTTGTACAACCAGTCTTAGGGAATTTTATCTAGGCTGGGCACATAGCAAATCAAATTACATCATTATGATCGAATGACAAGTATTTTCTTGGATTTCATATGCTGAAAGTRACATTACACCGAAAACATTTTATAGGAATTTTTTTTTATACATAAGGGTAAATATATAAACACGTTCTTTTTATTGGAAAATATTTTATCTTGATGTTGTCTTATCTTGTTCCAGTGGGCGAAGCTGCTCCAGATGAAGGTGAGATGACACCTGTKCCAACATTTGATGATTATTACCATCAATCAAACCCAATGATGGCTAACACAGTCCCAAGCTGGCAGGATGATATTTCAAAGACACCTACGCCTGGAATGCAAGAGGTAAAAGCAATATCGTCACTTACAGTGCTACTTGCATGAAAATGGTCTTATTTCAAAACTTCAAGCAATACAAATATATGACTCACATATATCTATTAAAAACAATTGCGGGAAAATATTTGTTTTGGAATTATCCCACRTCAGAGAAATTTTGATTCAAAAGATGGAAGAACAAAAGGATKGAGTAAATGAYGTCATCTACTCCAACATTTTTTGCCCAAATTATTAAGGATTTGTATCGATATTTTCTTGAAATCTGTTGCTTCATGGTTATTAGACCCACATGGATAGTTCTATTTGATTTCCAAGTCTTTTCTAATGTTTCGCAATTTTCGTCCAAGTAGCCCTTTAATCTGTTAATATTTGCACCAAGAGCTGTCTTTCCAAAACTTCAAAATTCACAATGATAATGGGATAACATATAAAGAAACTATAAACACGCTATAAAAAGTAAATTGCATACAAACGTGGAAGGACATTGTGCATGGTTATTCACCGTTTAAACTACAATAAATGAGAGAGAAATTTTKATTTTTTTTACGCGCGCACGACATTTCTCACACTATACGTAGAAAAGCCTTTCCTCGTGCCCCCTCTTTCACCAGACAGTGTTGTGTGGCTTTCTTTTCATGTCCTGTCATTTCGTTAAACCAAGGAGGGGAGGTCTTTTCATTAGATACACATGATAAAATATTTGTAATGGCCAAGAGAAAAATTGTGAAGTATTGGTGTTCAAGATTGTTCAAGATCTTCTAAAATTTAACCAAATAATAGGAAATGGTTTTGGACGAAGCTGCTCAGTCGATACGTTTGGAATAATACGTTTATACGTTTATTTATTTATTTCGTTATGTTTATAGATTGGTTTATTAACTTACACTCTATTGTCGTTCCTCAAGAATAACTAAAATTCATTCTCCCTTTAATCAGATGTTGCCACCAAAGCAAGATTCTCCTCCAAAACCTGGTATGTTKTATTTCTTTGCTTTTGGTTTTGTCCACAGGTGTACTCACAGGCAGTCCATCCTTTTCTTAAAATCTCACAAGTATTTYCTATATGTTTATTGTATTTTAAAAATTTCATTAAATATATTGATGAATAAATCGAAAAAATGGATAAATACGTAACACAGWATAGTTTGAATCCCGCGAGTTACGAAATTGTATGCCACGTTACTTCCCCATATATATTTTGATTTATCTCAATTAGAAAGCTCTAATTTTAGTCGTTTTTTTACACTCACGCGATGTTTGATGTGACACTTGTGATAATAACAGAGTATCTTATTTAGTTGAATTTATTGGGTATTGATTAAAACAAATTTTGCACAGAACCCAARCCCAAACAGGAAGAGAAAAAGCCAACAAATGAGAAAATTAATTCGGTAAGTAGAAAACTGAAACCTTGAAATGATTGTAGACAAGTCTTGTAAAATGTGCATTTCATCAAACATTTGACTGGATTATTACCTTGCCATTTATTTTTCTTTTCAAACACAACAGGAGTAACCGGTTTTTTTTAATGATTTTTGCAGGGCGGTGGCTGGTTTACCGGTTTGTCTGGTTTGATCCAAAAAGTCATCCCAAAAGGTCCCAATGAAGTGCATTTGCCAGATGATACGAAAAAGACGGTACGATKTATTGAATAAGAATATTAGTAATCACTCACGCAATTTGCAAACCCTTTCCATTCGTTTTATTGGCGTGACTTCCTTTCACTGACTGTCTTTCATGAACCTCGGTTCACTCGAGGGACTGGGCTCTACAAAACGCCCGATAACCCCCGCGAGACAAACTCGTTCTCAATCCAAATATTACTCAATATGCTCACTAAATTTKCTRACGTTGGTCTTGTATTGTTTGATTTAACGTTTTATTACAACTATTTTGTTGGAAAATCCGACGGCCGACCATACAATGCTCACCCTTGTTATTATCATTCTTGTCTTTAGATATATTTTGACAAAGAAAAAAACAAATGGATTAACACTGATGAGAGTGAAGAGGTATGTTCCAATCTTACATGATTATGATAATAGAAGAAGTAAAAACAAAACTTAACTTGATTGACATTTTATTATTTGTCTCAACAGGACAGAGCTCCCCCACCACCACCCCCTACAGACGCAATGATAGGCGGAGGAATGCCTGGAATCCCACCCAGTGGTAAAACTTCTTTTATCGTCGTTTCATGTGGTCGTTTCATGTTTAATAAATGTAGAAACGAATCAAATATTTTTCTCAAAGGTCCGCCACCTCCTTTGTCAATGCCTGGTCGTGCCATGGGAAATATGCCAGCCACAAGTAGCRTGCCAACRAGTGCCAAACCAGTGCCTGGTAATCAGAGAGATGAACCTGGCACACCKCCCTCCCCTGGTAGAGCATTTGGTACTGGTATGATTCCAGACCCCTCTTTGCCAGGAAGTCTTCCACCTGGACCTCCGTCAAAGTTCTCAAGAAGGGCACAGGGACGACTTGGTATGACATTTAAACGAAAAATAAGCCATTATAATTTCAGTGGACTGCTTTCTCCATTAACGGAATTTTTCATAGTATGGCTACTCGAACYAAAGCTCCCTAGACAAAATGTTTCACAAWTATTTATCAATGCCTTGTATAGCCTTTCAAATTCATTAGAACTTCAATGGGTGTGTATAATCTGTAATATATTTGCAATTTGTTACCATTCTGCTGCAATTTAACTATCACAAACCAACTTGTCTTTTTTAACTATACTCTTTTGTCGGGTTTCCTGACCCTCCCAAAAGAAAGCTAGACAAAAGGGAAGGCTGCTAAGGAGATTATGATCAACTTAGACGCACTGTAACACTATGTTGGGCCTTTTTTTTCAGGATCTCAAAAGAAGTATGTGGATGTTTTAAATCCGAACAAAGGGACCACTCAAGGCTCTCCTGCAGTCCCTTCAGCCTTGTTCCCTATTTTACCACCAGCCGGCGGTGGGTCTTTCCAGGGGACTCTATTTGTGCCATCAGCTGGTAAGCCTTCGCAACATTTTTTCTGCTCTAYATGAAGTATTGAGAGTTTTGGCTTGTTTTTGTTTTACAGGCACAGAAAGCCTGAATCAAAACAAACAAATAGCCAATGTGCAGGGACGCCATTTTGTACAACAAAGCATGATGGGATGTGTAGTCCTTACACTTTTTAACTCGAATATTACGAAGCAATCGAAGAGTTATTATATTACCTAAAATATCTCCCTCAAAACCATTTTCATGAAAGCTTTGTATAAACGCCACAACTAATTCTATTGTTACAAAGAAAAAGCAAAATTGCGGCTTAGGAGGACTGTTTTAACGCCCATAGAAAAAAGTACGAGGACTTCACCTCCCATTAGAGCAGATTTCGTATGAGTGGGACACCGTTACCGCACGGTTACCGCACAGTTACCGCCTTCACAATTTTGGTGAACCAATGGGGCACTAGAATTTGGTTACAGTACGATTACGTTCACAGTACAGTACCGTCCGTTTCCCACTCATACGAAATCCGCTCTGCTTTGTTGCACAAGATGACGTCGCTGCACATTGCCTGTTTGTTAAGAACACTTTAGACCCCAAATTTTGCTCTTCACGTTGTTGAACAGTTGTAGAAAACGAGAACTAACGATGTGACTTGACTTTCAGCACCAGCCGATGACAGCAATGATTCAATGCAACAACCTTCAAGTATACAGTCTGGCGGGTAAGACAAGCTTCTTTGTGAAATTCCCGTTTCTTTTCCATTTATCCGTGTCTCCCTCCCATCCACCCATATTTAATTGCTTCGTCAATTGCAATTTCTCCTTCTTTTTTTCATTAATTTTGAATCCGTTTCTGTCCGT